ATTGACAGTGGCTTGATGAAAAATGCAGACTGACCCCTCACTCATCTGGTGCCTTCGGGAGGTGGAGATGTTTGAGATATATATCTCGAACTATCTACTTCTTTTGTAAGGTCTGATGGCGTAGTGGGTTAAAGCATACTAGTTATGCCGGCTACTGGAAGGTAGTTGTGCTTTCTGGGTTCGAGTCCCACTGGTGGGTGTTGTCCAAAGATATATATATATATATATATATATATATATATATATATATATATATATATATATATATATATATATATATATATATATATATATATATATATATATATATATATATATATATATATATATATATATATATATATATATATATATATATATATATATATTCAATCGGGATGATAGCGGACAGAGTGTATCGTGATCCGGCCTGTACTCCTCTTGACATACCAGAAAACATTCTAAGGAAACTACTCCAAGCTTGTACTAAAGAGGCACCCTTCTTGAGCCCGGATGGGCACATGTATAAGCAAGTAAATGGGGTCACCATGGGTTCTCCCCTAGGTGTCCTGTTTGCGAACTTCTACATGGGTACCATTGAACAAAAGGTCTTAGTCGACATGAACTTGAAACCGGCCATATACTGCAGGTATGTTGACGACATTTTTACACAGGTACCTGATGTCAGACATCTGCAGGAGCTGAAGGAGGCATTTGAGCGGAATTCTGTGTTGCGTTTCACTTACGAGATGGAGAAGGATGGGAAGCTGCCCTTTCTAGATGTAACAGTAAGGGAAAGAAGTGGAGGTTCCACACTGCAGTCTACACAAAGGAAACAAATAGGAATGTGCCTCAATGTCAACAGTGACTGCCCAGACAGGTACAAGAGGAGTGTTGTTAACGCTTATGTCGACCGTGCTCACAGCCACAGCTCAGGAAGGAAGCAAGTCGATGAAGAACTCTGTAGGGTAAGGCAGGTCCTAGTCAACAACGGCTTCTCCAATGGTTTCGTTGAAGACATCATAAGAAGGGAAGTGAAACACCATGCAACCTCTGAAGAGACAACTAACACAACACCTATATCCCCTATTAGACTATTTTATAGGAACTTCTTTTCCACAGCTCATAAAACGGAGTAAAGGGTCCTGAAAGATATTGTTAATAGGAATGTTATCCCTACAGACAAAGATCAGAAGATACAATTGACGATTTACGATAAAAACCAAAAAAACGGCCAGCCTACTCATGAGAAACTCTCCAGACACAAAGCAGAACGCTTTAAATGAGACCAACGTCGTCTATGCCTTCAAATGCCCACTTGGGGACTGTAAGCCTCAAAGAACTCAGTATATAGGCATGACAACAACATCTCTTTCCAGGCGATTAACAATGCATAAGCAACAGGGCTCCATTAAGGAACATATAATCTCTTCCCACAACCAAACCATCACCAGAGAAATCTTAGCAAACAACACAGAAATCATCAATAGATACAGCGATAGCAGGCGGCTTGACATCTGCGAGGCACTACACATCAAGAAGTCAACACCAGCAATCAAAAGCCAATTAATGCACAACTATATTCTACCCACTTCAAGACTCCGCTCCAATATAGAAGCATCAAGAAATATGGGCCAATAGGCCCTTTGCAGTCACTTCCATTCTCCCCTTTAATGTATCCAATTCATACCTATTGCACCATGTTCTGTCTTGTGTTGAAAGTTTTGTTCACCTCATCCAAAACTGTTGTAACATATCACCTCACCCAAATGCGCATATATAAGACAAAAGCTGTTTAAATGATAGCATAGTAGAACTCTGTTTAGTGTTTGCAGGTTATATTTGTGTGTGTGTAAACTACAGTCTTTGAAAATGTAATAAGTTATTACGAAACGCGTTCAAGTGTCGCGTCAGACTAGAAATAAAAATGAATTTTTGATAATTGATTTTTCAATTACCATCGACAGTGAAAAGAAACGTAAGAAATATTGAGAAAATTCGTGTTAGAATTATTAATCTTACTTTTTCGGTCATATATATATATATATATATATATATATATATATATATATATATATATATATATATATATATATATATATATATATATATATATATATATGAACAAGCTTGAATGGTCCCCAAGCATATAGGCAACTGAAAACTCCACACCCCAGGAGTGACTCGAACCCAGACCACCAGGAGCACATTGCATCTGGTGTACACGGTGCCTTAAACCATTCGACCATCAGTGACCGTACAAAAGGCAGTGATAGCCGAGGTTATTTTAACAACCACCCCGATGGCACTTTGATGGTAATCTTGGGCATAGCTATTTCATCAAATCACTTCATTCTTGTGGGGCCACGTGAGCAACGCAAATGCGAACAAGCTTGAATGATCCCCAAGCATATATGCAACTGAAAACTCCACACCCCAGAAGTGACTCGAACCCAGACCACCAGGAGCACATTGCAACTGGTGTACACGGAGACTTAAACCACTCGACACTTGTACGGTCACTGATAGTCGATATAGATCTATATAAATAAAAATGGAAATGTTCGTTTGTTCAAAATCGCTAACCTCCGAAAGTTCTTCACCAATTGCTTTGAAATTTTGACACAACGTTTCATTCGAATACGTGCATGTTTTTATGTACTACTATATAGATGTCACACCTGTGACAGGTAAAAACATGTTTTATTTTAAACAGCGCCATCTGTTGCACGTCAGAGCAACATATGCAATACAAAATATGTTACGATTCCATATCAGTGTTTTCGATTGCATTGATAAATTGAATTTTTATAGATTTTATTTTATTTTCATTTTAATTTAATTATTTTGTGTGACATTGCGTTGAAATGGAGCTGTGTTGTTTACCATACCCTTCATTTCGTGTGTATAGTTTATTTGCTTTTGTTTTTTCCATTTCGTTTTATTAACTGTTCTTCTGTGCAATTGGTGGTGAAATTGAGCTGTGTCGATTGATTGTGTTTGAATTGAAATATTTCGTTAGTATTTTTTGTTTTGTTTTGAAAACAAGAAAATGGACTACATGTTTATTTCACAGCTGCAAATGTGTAGCAAACAGCGTTGAATCCACCGGCTACAATGTTAACTGCTTTCTTCACGTTATGTCAAAATGACGCGTTTGCGAAAACACTGCTGTATTCGGACGTTCCTATGTATTACACATGGAATACCAGTAGAAAATCATTTGAACGACGCAAACGAGGAGAGCGAGTCGACGGACAACCTGGCATATTCAAACAAACTACAATAGGCAGACTGTACAACGTCCATCCCAATCAGGATGAATGCTTTTTTCTTCGCATGCTGTTGGTAAATGTGCCCGGTCCAACGTCTTTCCAGCAACTGAGATTTGTTAACAGTGTAACACATGCCACTTCCCATAGTGCATGTCAAGCTCTGAATTTATTGGCGAACGACCGACATTGGGATGTATGCATTAATGACGCGTCCAACACGTCACATCCAAATCAAATTCGTGCATTGTTTGCTATCATATTGACCGCCGGCTCTCCTTATCTCCAACAGAGTTATGGGAGAAATATAAATCGCATATGGCTGAAGATATTATCCGTCGAATACGCAAGGAAAATTCAAATATGAACATGGATTTCACATAAAAAATCTACAACGAAGCATTGATATTGATTGAAGAATTGTGCTTAGAAATCGCGAACAAAGTTCTCAATTAGTTGAAAATGCCATCAGTGAATCGATCTGCTGCTGTTCCGTTCGATATAGAATTGCGTCGTGAACAAAATTACAACACGGGTGATTTGTTGTCGTATGTACAATCAAATATTCCTAAGCTAACGCTTGAGCGAAAAGGCATTTACAATCAAATAATTCAAACTGTCAATAACGGGCTTGGAGAAATGTTCTTAGATGTCCCAGGAGGAATTGGTAAATCCTTCCTAATTAGATTGATTCTGGAAGCATTTCGATCCCAAAATGGCATAACCTTAGCTCTTGTGTCGTCCGGAATAGCTGCGACATTGCTACCAGGTGGAAGAACTGCTCATTCGGCTTTGAAATTGCCATTGAACATGCAGTTCATTGAAACTCCCATGTGCAACATTTCCAAAGCATCTAGCTTGGGAAAAGTATTGCAGAAATGCAAACTTATTGTTTGTGATGAATCCACAATGGCCCACAAAAAATCGCTCGAGGCTCTTGACCGATCATTGCAAAATTTGTATGGAAACATCAGACCATTTGGGAACACATTAATATTGCTTGCAGGAGATTTCAGGCAAACTTTACCTGTAATTCCTCGATCGACACCAGTGGACGAAATAAATTCTCGCCTGAAATTCTCTACTTTTTGGCGCCACATAAAGACGTTAAAATTAACTACAAATATGCGTGTCCAGCTGCAAAACGATCCATCAGCTGAGATATTCTCACAACCATCGCTGGATATTGGGAACGGACACGTGCCGGTTGATCTGACTCAGGACGAATTTCATTGCCTCATAACTTCTGCAATTTAGTGACGTCAAAAGAAGAATTGGTTGAAAATTTCGCCGAATTACGCTTCAACATTTTCAGAGGCATCAGAACAGAACATACACATTAGGGGAAGATACCAGTACCTTCCCACATCCCGCAATATCCATTGTGGGAAGAGGAGAGGTGAGAAGTTTACCCATGAAGGGGGCTGGGTAACCTGACTCTTCAGTGTCACTGGTCGGCTGGGGCAGGTGGACTGCTAAAATGTTTCACCAAGAAAAATAAGTATAACATCTTTTGTCCACCAGTAGAACTAGTCGGTGCAGCGTTGGTCTTGCTTCTTACTTGACGGCGTTCGATCTCCGATTGTCCAAGTGGTTGGAAACCTTCATTTAATGTTTCCTCATTCCTCAGTTCATTATTCTCACCCCCCCCCCCATACAAGCGCTATATTGTCACACTAGCTAAGCGGTTTCTACTGATAATTACCTCACGTGGTGTGACTGAGCCACCGCCTGGCGGGCCTCCTGCAGGGCAACAGCCTGACGCTGGAGGGCGTGGACCACCTGGCGGAGGGCACCTACCTGTGCACGGCCGACAACGGCATCGGGGAGCCGGCCACCGCCGCCATGGCCCTCACCGTCCACTATCCTCCACACATTATCACAGAGAAGGTAAGTCGCAGACGTCTCTTCTTCAGTGCTTCCTGCACATCTCTCACGGCGACTTAAATTACCTGAATTTACCTGTGGGCTAACAGTGGCATCGACGGGGGCAGGACACCGGCGGATTGTCAAAGATCCTCATGTCGTATTTTTACCTTTCTGACTCCCTAAAATAAAGATCTAACAACTAACATAACAACAGACTATGATCACTGTCTACAGTGATCATAGTCATATCCAGTGACCACTAGGACACTGTTGCTGTCTTCGTGTGCTAGTGGACTGTGTCTAGTGTGTGTGTGTCCTGGCTGGCTCAGTTCCAGGGTGTTCCAGCAGCAACGGTGCAGCTTTCATTAACCTGTTGGATGAAAATTACCACTTTACCCTTTGGTAAAAAATATAAGAATATATATAATGAAGCGATCACTGATATGGTAACACATCATTTTAATCTATCCTTTTGACCTGTTATCTTGCCTCATATGTATTATATTATAAACAATACCAAGATTATTTTATCCTTTATTGATATGAATTTATTTATTGCAAAAGTATACTTAAATTTATCTTTAAGCAATTGCACTGTATAAAATATTTATTAACCTAGTCAGTATAATTTTATTTTAGTGACAAATAATTTACTTACGGAGATGAGCTCGTAAGAGAAACGTAAAAGATGAAAGTAAGAGAGCTCGTAAAAGATGATCCAATCACTGTCTACACCACCAACTTCACTTATTGTGTTAAGATGCAGGTACGGATCTGTCTTGCTGTGCTAAGACTTCACCCGCTTGATGGGCCAGAGCGTGTAGTGTAGTTCACTGTCAATGTTGACGTGGTGTTGTAACGGCGTCTGCTGGACTCAGTCAGCTGTTGGCGTCAGCTGCGGCTCACTGAGATATCGTGAGATATCACTCACTTCTTTATCGTTCACACACTTATCTTTTTAAGCAGTATGTGAACACTTAAATCAGTTTTATTTATAGATTACACCACTAACCAAAGGTCCACAGCTGTATAACGGCTAAATAAGCATGTACAACTGCTGTGTATTCGAGACTTTCTCAAAGTTGACACATTGTGTATTCGACATTTGGGTTTTGAGAAAGCTGCCAAATACGTCTATATCCCAGCCGTATTCTGGCCACTATAACATCACATTGCAGAGTTCTTGCTCTATTAGTTCCATATATGAATGTCTGCTTAGGGTATATAACATAGTGTTTAGAGCTACAGCTTTCAGGTCTTTGTGAGTATGTTAGGTCAGTAAGATTTTCATTAGATATTAGTTTAAATATTCTCTTTGTGACTGCTAATGAAACACTCGCATCACTTTCCACTAGAACTTGTACCCAAGATTGACCATGTAATGTATCAATTATACAATGTACGTATGTGATGTAACTATATAACCTGAGCTTGTAAAAGCACCTTCATCACCTTCAGTGATTAAGTGCTTAATTGCTTAATTGCTTAATTGCACACTAGTTTCTCTATCAGCTATCTCACCCTGTCAGAGTAAAAGACACAAATGTATGTGAATGCATGTGGGTATATATATGTATGTATATGTATGTATATATATGTATATGAACGTATATGTGTGTATGTATGTATATGTGTATAAAGTATATATGGAAGATAATCAGAACTACATTTCACATTTGTAAATGCACATTAATGACACTATGTACAAGACACATCGAACACTTTATGCAGGGCATACGTAAATCTGTTTATCTATGTATTTACGTATGTAGGTTAGCTTAGCATTTTAAAAGCACCGAATCACCTTCTGTGGTTGATTGTTCAATAAACTCCTGAACTATATGTTTAACACTTCTCTAACCCTGTCCATGGAGGACAGAAGAAAATGTATATATGCTGGTTAGCATTGTAAATGTGTGGCCACGTCTGTGGTAGAAAAAAACTGGTCTGCTACAGGTGGTCTGAGCAAGCAATAATAATATATGTGAGCTTTGCACATGTCTCCTTCTCTGAGGTAGGAAATTGTCAGCCTCCAGATCTGTCTCCTTCTCTGAGGTAGGAAATTGTCAGCCTCCAAATCTGTCTCCTTCTCTGAGGTAGGAAATTGTCAGCCTCCAAATCTGTCTCCTTCTCTGAGGTAGGAAATTGTCAGCCTCCTAATCTGTCTCCTTCTCTGAGGTAGGATATTGTCAGCCTCCAGATCTGTCTCCTTCTCTGAGGTAGGATATTGTCAGCCTCCAGATCTGTCTCCTTCTCTGAGGTAGGATATTGTCAGCCTCCAGATCTGTCTCCTTCTCTGAGGTAGGATATTGTCAGCCTCCAGATCTGTCTCCTTCTCTGAGGTAGGATATTGTCAGCCTCCAGATCTGTCTCCTTCTCTGAGGTAGACAGTTGCCGACTCCCAGACCTGAGCCAGGATTCATGAAGCATTTACTCAACCACTTACGGAACGTGTACATCTTTCCTTAATCCTGGCGAGTTTGTTGACATTAATTATGTTTATGCGGTCACAAACGCGGCAAGTTTGTTTTTAACAAATAACTTCTGGCTGTGAAGTTTCCAAGTTCATAAACTGTTTAATAAATGCAAACAAAGCCGCCATTATTAAGAAAAGATGTAAAGGTTTCATAAGTGAATGTGTATATTCTTAATGAATACTGACTATGTGTCCTGGTGTGAGGTAGGAACATATCTGTCCCTCATCCAATGCTGCCCTTCAGGCCTTTTTTCTGTCTTTCTATTTTCATCACTTTGCATTTTCAGGATTAAACTTAAGTAGCCACTTTTGACACCATCTGTGTACTGTGCCAGGCTGCTCCAGCACCTCCAACACCCTCCCTCTCCCATTGTCTCATCAGTAACTTAACATCGTCTGCAAAAATGGATATTACTAATCTGTGTGTGTACTTATCTAGCTGTGTTTGCAGGGGTTGAACTTTGGCTGTTTGGTCCCGCCTCAGCATGAGTGTGTGTGTGTGAGTGTGTGTGTGTGTGTGTGTGTTTACTAGTTGTGTTTTTTTTGCGGGGGTTGAGCTTTGCTCTATTGGCCCGCCTCTCAACTGTCAATCAACTGTTTACTAACTACTTTTTTTTTCTTTTTTTTTTCCACACCACACACACACACCCCAGGAAGCAGCCCGTGACAGCTGACTAACTCCCAGGTACCTATTTACTGCTAGGTAACAGGGGCACTTAGGGTGAAAGAAACTTTGCCCATTTGTTTCTGCCTCGTGCGGGAATCGAACCCGCGCCACAGAATTACGAGTCCTGCGCGCTATCCACCAGGCTACGAGGCCCCATCGCTATCCACCAGGCTACGAGGCCCCATAAATTATTATTATTATTTTTTTTTTTTGAGATATATATACAAGAGTTGTTACATTCTTGTACAGCCACTAGTACGCGTAGCGTTTCGGGCAGGTCCCTGGAATACGATCCCCTGCCGCGAAGAATCGTTTTTTCATCCAAGTACACATTTTACTGTTGAGTTAAACAGAGGCTACAGTTAAGGAAATGCACCCAGTAAATCCTCCCCGGCCAGGATACGAACCCATGACATAGCGCTCGCGGATTGCCAGGCGAGTGTCTTACCACTACACCACGGAGACTGTGTGTGTGTGTGTGTGTGTGTGTGTGTGTGTGTGTGTGTGTGTGTGTGTGTGTGTACTCACCTAGTTGTACTCACCTAGTTGTGCCTGCGGGGGTTGAGCTCTGGCTCTTTGGTCCCGCCTCTCAACTGTCAATCAACAGGTGTACAGGTTCCTGAGCCTATTGGGCTCTATCATATCTACACATGAAACTGTGTATGGAGTCAGCCTCCACCACATTGCTTGCTAATGCATTCCATTTGTCAACCACTCTGACACTAAAAAAGTTCTTTCTAATATCTCTGTGGCTCATTTGGGCACTCAGTTTCCACCTGTGTCTCCTAGTGCGTGTGCCCCTTGTGTTAAATAGCCTGTCTTTATCAACCCTGTCGATTCCCTTGAGAATCTTGAATGTGGTGATCATGTCCCCCCTAACTCTTCTGTCTTCCAACGAAGTGAGGTTCAATTCCCGTAGTCTCTCCTCGTAGCTCATACCTCTCAGCTCGGGTACTAGTCTGGTGGCAAACCTTTGAACCTTTTCCAGTTTAGTCTTATGCTTGACTAGATATGGACTCCATGCTGGAGCCGCATACTCCAGGATTGGTCTGACATATGTGGTATATAATGTTCTGAAAGATTCCTTACACAAGTTTCTAAAGGCCGTTCTTATGTTAGCCAACCTGGCATATGCTGCTGATGTTATCCTCTTGATATGAGCTTCAGGGGACAGGTCTGGCGTGATATCAACCCCCAGGTCTTTCTCTCTCTCTGACTCTTGAAGTATTTCATCTCCCAAGTGATACCTTGTATCTGGTCTCCTGCTTCCTACCCCTATCTTCATTACATTACATTTGCTTGGGTTAAACTCTAACATCCATTTGTTCGACCATTCCTGCAGCTTGTCCAGGTCTTCTTGAAGCCTCAAGCTGTCCTCCTCTGTCTTAATCCTTCTCATAATTTTGGCGTCGTCAGCAAACATTGAGAGGAATGAGTCTATACCCTCTGGGAGATCATTTACGTATATCAGAAACAGGATAGGTCCAAGCACAGAGCCCTGTGGGACTCCACTGGTGACTTCACGCCATTCTGAGGTCTCACCCCTCACTATAACTCTCTGCTTCCTATTGCTTAGGTACTCCCTTATCCACTGGAGCGCCCTACCAGTTACTCCTGCCTGTTTCTCCAGCTTATGCATCAACCTTTTATGGGGTACTGTGTCAAAGGCTTTCCGACAGTCCAAAAAAATGCAGTCCGCCCATCCTTCTCTTTCTTGCTTAATCTTTGTCACCTGATCATAGAATTCTATCAAGCCTGTAAGGCAAGATTTACCCTCCCTGAACCCATGTTGATGGGTTGTCACGAAGTCTCTTCTCTCCAGATGTGTTACTAGGTTTTTTCTCACAATCTTCTCCATCACCTTGCATGGTATACAAG